TGTTTGTGGCCTGTGAAGTCAGAGGACGGCTTCGCATCGTCAAGCGGACAGAAGGGGTCTCCACCACAGACACTTGTCACTCGATTTAGGGTCTGGATTTGAAGTAGGACAGATTCGCCCCGCTGCACGATAAAGGTGCAAATTGCATCAGCCGAACCAAAATCATCTTGCTAGGTACTTGGACTTTTAGTGCTAGAGATCCCTGCCTGGTGCAAGCTTTAAGGCTTGAAGCTTGAAAGGGCTTAGGGTGCAGGCTGGGGTGTAGCCATCTCCGGCCCTCATCTTGAGTTTGTGAGGTCTTCCCAGAAGAGCTAGGAAACTATAGTGTGAAGGAATTGGCGCACAATTTTGGAGGCATTGATTGGAGGAGGAACAGAACTGCATAGCACAGCCATAGCGACTTGAAGGTTTTGATCAGCAAAACAAGGGCAGAACATCCTTCGATGTCAAAGCCCAGCTGAATTCATAAGGAAGGGAGCTACCAAGGAAGTTCAAACAATCCCATTTTTGGAAGTCCCGAGTATCTAAATATTTATGGAAACTACCAGGGAAGAGCAGCTATGGAAACTACCAGGGAAGAGCAGCAGGGGTCTCGTTTGGAGGTATTTGCGTATTGTATGCTGGGCTAGTCTTGGAAGACTTGGCATTTTTTGGACGAGGGCTGTAGCCCGTGGTGCTCCGCACATTGCTGGCAAAGATTTCCCGTGATTGATTGCCCTGATCCCATGCAGTCAAACATCTCTTGCGTGAGATTCCGTGGAAAGACAGGTTTCCATGTCTCCTTCATACTTCATGGAAATTACAAGCACCACCATCCTTGTCATCACTAGTCTCCTTCTCAATTTCAGTAGAAGAATGATCGATCTCCCCCAGGACCACTTCCCACTGCTCCATGCCAAAATTAGCCGAGGACCTCATTGGACGCCTGCTTACCCTGTCACGCAACCAGCCGGCTGATTTCGCAGGACACCACTCCCCAAGCATGGGCACCTCGCATTCATTTCGGCTACCTGGTACTGCTGAAAACCGGCGTCCGCCCTATATACAACCCCAAAAGCCGCGCAACTTCGCATTCCACATACTCTTCCTCAGGCTAGTAACTCCAGACTGGGAGGCTTCGTTAGTCTTGAACAATTCTGCAGGCCATTATTAAGGGTAGTTTTCATCAATTGTACAGTTACAATCTGCTTGTTATTCCTGCCGTCAAGACTTTCCCTAACAACGCCCCCCACATCACTAGGTTATCGAATTAGCCCGGAAGCTGCGATCGAACAGCAGCTCCGTCGCAAACATGTAGGGGGTCAAGAAATTGTGAGGGTTCATATGTGTGTGAATATACATAGGGTCCGTTTGGGCCTGCAATTTCTGGCAGCCCTATCTGCTTCAACATTCCATGCGGCAGTCGGACACTTTAAACTGATGGCTTTCCTTTGGGCGTGTGGCTGACTCTGATTCCAGATTGTTATTTCGTGCTTTCCTTGTGGATTGTCGCAGAGATTCCAGCGATAGTTCAGTGTCCCGTGGACTCTCAGAATTCTGGGGACAGACCAGGATGGAGGGATCATGTGATATGCATGTTCAAGGCATCGGGATTGTCGGTTGAAAGACTGAACTCTCCCTACCCCCTGGGTTGGGGGGAGGGTTTAGCTACCGTGGCAGGGGAATGTTACAAAATACCTTACTTGTGTCCAGCACATGCCTTAGGAGGACTCTCATCCAGAATTCTGATGCAGCTTCTTACTAGAATCTCCGAGGCGCTATAAACCTTCAGACATGAAATTTCCATGTTCAGCAACTTTGGACCCGCACAATGACTGTGATGCTTTGGATGGCTTCAGCCATTCTCCTCTGCCAAGTTAGGTCTCCCAAGAGAGGGCACGGGAGATCCTGATTTTGATATGCTCTCAGGTGCGCTATGCCAGTGCCGCAGGTTGCCCAGCAGCATCTCAGGAAGCCTTCTGATTTTCCCATTAGTGTTGAATGTGTTGGTAAAGAGGAAACCTCGGACTTAGGGGATTTGTGGAGGCTTTGGCAGGGGGTTCGGCTTGGGGCGAGGTGGGGTCTCCTGCCATAACTTTGGGCACTTAGGAATATGTGTGTGATCACATGCGTGAGCTCTTCGGGGTGGTGCATGATAGTGGACCCTACCTGACGTCCACGTTGCTGCTTGGACATGGGCGTGGTGCGCAGCATCTGTCGAGAACATGCTTGTAACGTGTTTTCCAGGACTCCTCATTTTTGGGTGCTATCAAGTTGCTTTTGAGTAGTGTAGCTAGAGAAACCTCAATCATTTGCGCTTAAGGCAGAGAGGGGGAGGAAATATGGATAGCACACATGCAAAGCACTGTAAAGGTTCCATTACGATGCTTGTAGGGATCCACTCCCCCGCTCCCAACACAATGCACACCGAGCACGTCGCGGCCTCACGTGGCATTTTGTCAAGTCGAAGGGCTTGTCAGATATTTGTTGCCACCCCAAACTTGCTAGACGTCGTACCGAAAGCTGAACAGAAGCCTACAGGGGCTAGCTGCATGCCACTTCTGAATCATTGCAAAAGACACGGAGAAATCACAGCTTCTGAAAAGAAGCTTTCAGGTGGATCTCTCCGAGTCCTTGCAGGAGGCTCTGCTTGCTGCGGACACACTGGGTGAGACCTACAAAATGTGCGAAGAGGCACAACAGGTTTGAAGGTTTAGGGTTTTGCGCATCTGACAGGTTCGCCTGAATACGTAGGAGGGAGGGCGAGAGAGACGGAGAGAGGGTTTGGGGTTTGGGGCTTATAGGTTTCAGGAGTAGGTTTCACTATAAGACTATAAGGGTTACGGGGGCTCCAGTTGGGGAATTTCATGGTGCAATTTTGAGCAACCCCCAAAATTCGATAGACCGGCGAAAAAAAAGGGGAGGGAGGGGGGGGGAAAAGTCGTAGACCTTATAGTAGTGGTAGTTGGTAGAGAGCCAGGAGACCCAAAAGGCTTTCAGTAAGTGTAGAGCTTATCAGAGCTTCATGTCATGATTGCATAGGAGCATTTGCGAAAGTCTTCTGCTTAACCCTGTTCCTTAAATGCAACTGACGATGTTCAAGGTTCGCACAAACTCAGCGACAACACATTTCGCTTGCAACAGCCTAAAATGTTTGCAGCATAAGCGCTGACATTGTAGCTTGACCATGCTGAGTCTCCCTGATGTCATTGCAGCTATGCCTTAGCTCACAATTGTACTGGTGATGCCAGGGCAGTAGCAGCAGTTTGATTCTAGGCGGGAATCGTGCTTTTTAGGATCCTATTTCTGTATGTGCTCTTTCCTTGCAGGCCAGTTGTCATGCTTCGTGATGCTGCAGCTGCTGCCGTGGCTTTTGGTTTTCTTGTGGCATACGGTGGGAATTGCTGGCACAACCCTGGTGTCGCTGATTGCTGCGGTCTTTCATGTGACAGGGGTGGCTCATGGACTCGTTGTCCTGGCTTTCACTATTTCTTGTCACTAGTAGTAACTAGTAGTATATATGCATGATGCGCTGAGAATCCTCAAGGAGAGAACAGCTAAGTTTGGTGAGCAAGCTTTGGGCTTCCGAGCAACTTACACGCAGATCCTTCTACATTCCAAGCTACGCCCAGAACCTTCTACCCTAAGCCCTCCAGACAAGCCTTACTCCTCCAAAGTATCAGCCGAAACCTGCTACGTAACAAGACAAGGAAGGTATGCAGGGTCACAAGGTTGAACTCCTAAGCCCATGGCAACAGCGGTACAAGAAGTAGAAGACGTGCTGGTCACACTTACTATCAATTGCAATTATTGTTTTGTTGTTACTGGCATTTCCCGTATAACTACCGTTAATACTATTATTATTATTATCAGTACTAATTGCTGTTAATATTGCTAGTTTTGTGGCAGGATCTCGAGCGTCTCAAGGCCAAGATCGCTGCCGCAGCCGCGCCCGCGGCTGGCGAAAGCAGAGCCGAAACAGGTGCTGGAGGGGATAGAACAGGGCTCAGTGTGGCAAGGCACTTAGGCATGGGGTTTGCGGTTGCAGGTGTGCACTGCATGCATGAAATTGGTAAGGTGTGTCCAGGCCTGGATGTGACAGGCGCTAGAGGTCTGGTGGCCGCGGCTGGTGTCAGGGGGGAGATGCTACGGGACTGGCATTTTAGAGCTCAGAGGCTTAGGCAAGTGAAGGAGACATGTGATTTTGCAGTAGCAGAGGGACTGTTGCTGTTGCTACTACTGACACCAGTGTCAATATTGCTACCGATTATTACTACTACTACTACTACTACTACTACTACGACTAACTACCACCACCACCACCACCACCACCACTACCACTACCACTACAACTACCACTTCCACCAGCAAAGCTATAGACAGTATGATTTGGAGGCTCTCACGCAGAACAGACTCCTGGTCACCAGTTGCTGGCTCAGGGGTGGTGGTTTCAGTGCAGAGCTCATAGTGCTGACATCTGGGAAGGGTTCGAGATAAACAGCGAACTTTCACAAGAGCAGCAGTAAAACCCTGGCCGTTGCAGGACATGGGGTGAAGCGTATAGATGTTGAGGCTGTAGGTTTGGAGGCTTGGCATTGCGGCTTGAAACCGATCAGAAGGCCAGAAAGGTCCTGGTCTCAGCAAAACAGTGACATGCAGGTTAGAAACCACATGTCCTGTTGCAAGTACTTCTCAAGTCTATGGTATTTCCAAGCTCCTCAGTTACCACTGCCCCTCGGATACGTTGCGTTTGTCGACCCCACTGGGCTCTCCTGTCTGCCTTGGAAAATCTTTCATTGTGGGACCTGCCGTTCAGACTGGAATACTCATCTGTATATAGATACACATCCGTACCTTTAAATGTTTACTCTGCACGTCGGAGCCATTCTAAAGCTCATTGAACTCGAACGCTAGCTGCAAAGTGTCCGACAAATCAAACAGACGAGCCGTTCATCTGAAGCCTTGTTTATTTGCAACCTTCCCTGTACTGAGTCTGTCGAGCGGTCCTACCCCTAAAAATAATGCCACGCAATGCGGCGCGGGACGCGCGGCGGGCAGCGGTCCGCCTTGAGCAACGGCGCGCGGCCGTGAGTGGCTTCGGCGCCTATCTCCGGGCCGCGCGATGTACAGGTTTGGCCTGTCATGTATTTTTCGAAGCTGCCCGAGTGCGGCAGCACATCATTTGCATGTCTGAGTTTCAATTGCAAGCACCGCTGCCAGGCGATCTTTGCTTTCGACGTCTGCGGCAGATGTTCTCGTGGCGGCTGGTGCTGGCCAACCGCGAGGCGGTGGCGCATCGCCGGGCGCAGATTGAGGCGGAACACGCCCCCCCCTTCGTTTCAAGGTTGCACGTTTCTGTGCAATACCAGCTGAACCAGAGCCAGGAAAGTCCAGGCCAGTAAGCAGCATTTTACGATTCTAGGTAGATTCGCCCTGCGTCGGTCTGTTGACGGTCCGCCACCACCACCAAGAGCACCACCACCACCAAGAGCACCACCACCACCACCACCGCCACCGCCGCCGCCGCCGCCACCGCCACCGCCACCGCCACCGCCACCGCCACCGCCAACGCCACCGCCACCGCCACCGCCACCGCCACCGCCACCGCCACCCCCGCCACCACCCAAAGGCAAGTTCTAAAGCTCCAAACCCTCAGACGAGTCCTAAACCCAGAACCCCACATCTTAAACATTGTAAAGTCTATACACCCCAGACCCTAAACTCCAAACCCTTTCAACCGAGTGCTTTTGCCCGAGTTTGGCACATCTTTTAGTGCGTATATTGGCAGGCCCGTGCTTCCCCGACGCAGCTGCGCTTTGAGAAGGGGTTCGCTCGCCTGTCCTACCAGCTGGCCACTGCGCGGCTCAGCATGGCAGCCCAGCAGCAGGCATAGCAGTCTGCAGGTCTTCCCAGGTCCAAATGACGATTGGTTTCCATTTTCAGGTTCAAGAAGCAAGAATGCCAGTGTGTCTTACCTGATCAGGCGGGCCGGCGTATTGCGCCTCGTGGTGACGGGGTGCCATCCAAGCTGCTTAAGCGTCTTCGCACCAAGAAGGTGAACAACGCCTCTTGTCTGATGTAAGAGACGTGCCAGGTTCGTATAGGGCGCGGTCTGGTTGAGTCCCGGTTGGTGAAGAGGGCGTTCATCGCTTCTGTTGTTTGCAACAACGGAGGTTCTGCGCTGTCTCGATGCAACCCCGACGTCTGTGCTGGAGTGGCGTTGTTTACCTTTTCGCACTCTGGTTCTGAATCTGGTGCTGCTGAGGGTCGTCGCCTTGACGCAGGCACGCGGATGTCGGCGATAGTATTTACTTTAAGCTCCACATCCGTAACTCATGCATCATTGACAGAAGCACTACCAGGAGCTGGTGGCAGCGCTGGACATAGGCGTTCCGCATGCAGTGCCGGATGGGCGTGGCTGGCATCGACTGGAGGCCGCCGTGGTCGACTTTCTCCGGCGGCCGGGCCTATGCAGGCCTTATCAGCGGCATCGCTGGCATTTGACAGTTTTCGTTGTACGATGTGACATGCAGTCGCTTATTCTGCAGCGGACAGCCTGAGGCCTTTTGGGCGCAGCGCGACGCGCGACCGCATCATCAAGCATTCGCTGCGTTTGCTGCGAGCTTCGCGGCAAGTGAAGACTGCAGACGCTTTGCTGGCATGGTGCGCTGCTGGCAATGGCGCTCCATTTGCATTGTACCAGGCATGTCGATTTTGCACAGTGTAATTCCGGTTGGAGGGGCTTGTATGCCCTCACAGGTGGCACAAGATTTTTGCTTGGTCTCACAACGAAGCCGACGTGTCATCCCGCTTTACGTTGGAAGCGGCTGTCACCGACGTGTTTGTCGCGCATCGAAGGCGCGCATCAGGCTCGGGTTCTTATTAGCCAGCGTATGTCAAGCTGCAGACTCTCCCAGTTTGCTGGTTGCCAGGCACTTGCATTCGTTGGGCGTCGGCCACAAGCCATTTTCTCGGCAGCTTCGACGCCTCGGCTTAGATGTGGAGCGGCACTGGTCTGTTCACGATTGCGAGTTCTTTCTTTGCGCTCTAACGCGTATAAAAAGAAGAACAATGGCGTTTCTTGAAGGATGCCCTGTGGGGTGGGGGGGGATACCCACCGGAGCTGGCCTGGTGGAGGGGGGGGGTGGGGGAAGTGTTAGGTTGGGGCTTGGTTGGCAGTTTTACAAGGGGGCAAGGGCTCGGGCCTCGGGGGGGGTCCAAGGGCTTCGGTTCCGGGGGGGTAGGGGGTAGGGGCACGGGCCCCAGGGACGGAGCGAAATTTCTAACGTGATAAAAAAATGGCGTTTTTTGAAGGATGCGCTGTGGGGTGAGCACATCCGAACCACGGAGTGAGCAAAAACATCCTACCTCACTGCAGCATGCGAATTTCTCCAAGTAATCAATCTAGAGTTCTCACACAGATCCCCACAATTCATTGTTTGACCATATGGTAGTTTCCATAAATAGGGGGACCCCAATATAGACCCCAGAATACTATAATCCTTATTATGGGGATCCCCAAAAAGGTACCCCTAACTTTCCACAGGAGGGGGCAAGGGCTCGCGCCGGAGCTGGCCTGGTGGCAGGGGGGGTAAACCAAGGGCCTTGATTGGAGGGTGAAGAGCAAGGTCAGAGGGGGGGTGTTCCAGGGGAGGGTTGGAGGGTTGACCTCGCGACGTGTAGCCGTCGCGGTTTGCCTCGTG